AAAAAAAAAAAAAAAAAAAAAGATCCTGTCTTAAAATTTCAAAAAGAGGATAGGATAAGGAGGTAGTTCACTGTGAAGTGCCTGAGAGTTTGATATCCAGCCACACCAAAAAAAAAAAAGCTTTTAGTGGTTATGGGATAGGAAAAGGGAGGGATGGAGAGACATAATAAATATTTGTTTAAGTAATTCATTCCCCTTTTTATTTATATTTTTGGTACCAGGGATCGAACTCAGGACCTTATGCTTTCGAGGCAGGTAACGGAACCACTGAGCTAAATCCCCAGCCCTCATTCCCCTTTTTAAAGAGTTGGAAGTGATGGTTAGATATAGAATATAGGAATTGGTAGGTCAGCATATTGCAAAATACAAATAGAGAAATTTCAAAGTAGAAAAGTCTGTAGTCTTTAGAATACACGATATATACACACACATGCACAAGATCCTTTGTTCTAATCTGTTATACTTCTGGTCTTGCATTAGCCTGGATCAGGTGTAGCATTATTCCCAGCAGTGTCTCCCCAGTGATAATCACTTCTTTGGTGAGTTAGGACATTTCCCTTGGATCCCTGTTCAAATGCCAGTTCAGGTAATTATCCTGGCAGAGCTCATTAATAAAACTCCTAAGTCCTCAATCAAAAGTGATACTTATTCTGAGCCTCCTGTTGGGTAGTGTTAGCTTTGTGAATCTTTTTCAGTTTTACCCTGAAAGTGACAGTTTATCTTGGTGACTGAAGACTGTTTTGACTGTAGAAAGTCACTTGGCACAACCTATTTTCTTCTTCTGTTCTAAAAATCATTTTAAAAGCCCTAACTGGCTAGGGATGTAGCTCAGTGGTAGAATGCTTACCTGACACTTACCAGGCCTTGGGTTAGATCCCCAGCTCTGCCAAAATGAAAACAGAAAAAACCATGCCTTTGACTTTTAAATTTTTAACCATTTAAAAAAATTAATTAATTAATGAGACAAGGTCTTACCCTGTACAGACTGGCCTTGAACTCCTTGCTAACTATCCCAGACTGGTCTTGAACTCAGTCTTTCTACCCCGCCTCAAGTGCTGGGATTAAAACTCATCAAAAAATTTTTTTGCCAGGGATTTAGCTCAGTGGTTTCACAGCCTGCTGCGCAAGCACAAGGACCCAAGTTCGATCCCTAGTACCAAAAAAAAATTTTTTTTTTCGTTACTGGGGATCAAACTCAAGACCTTGTGCTTGCAAGGCGGGCATGGTGCCACTGAGCTAAATCCCTGGGCCTTAAATTTTTTTTTTTAATTTTAAATTTACTTTTTTTTTTTTTTGGTACAAGGGATAGAGCTTGGGACCTTGCGCTTGCAAGGCCAGCACTGGAACCACTGAGCTAAATCTCCGGGCCTTTAATTTTAAATTTAAAGGAAAAATTTTTTTCTTTTTTGGAGAGAGGGTCTCACTATGTAGTTCCAGCTGGCCTTGACTCACTATGTAGGTTGGCCTTGAACTTGCAGTGATTCTCCTGCCTCACCCTCCCAAGTGCTGGGATTACAGGTGTGTACCACTATGCCTGGCTAAAGGGTACATTTTAGTGTACAAAAAAATTCTTGGAGGAATACACAGAAAAGAGCTCATAGTCTTGACAGACTTAAATCATGGTACACATAATCATTGTATTTGTACTAAGGGCTTTGAAGGAAAGTGCAGGATCCCATGGGAAGGTACAAAATGGGCGTCTGGGATTTTGGGGGCAGGTCCAGAAAAGGTCCCCTGTGAAGTAATGTTTACTTTTGACATGAATGAATAAGGATTAAGGTGAAGACATGAGAGACAGTGACGAAGATACAGAGAAGAGGAGCCTGGT